CGTACGAAGCCATCCTGTAAGTCGCGTCGCTGAATGTATTTGATGTGAGAAGTATGAAATGTAGAGGGTTTGGATGGGAAATTTGTACGTGGCTGTCGTCAGATAATTGCCGGTGCTGGTGGTTGATATGCTTTGATTGATTTGAGAAAAGAATCTCTGACTTATCTGCAAACTGAGAAATGAACCGAAGTCTAGCTTCTTTCTGGCGAGGCGCAGGCTAGGCTGCGGTCTGTGGCAATGATGACACGCAACTCTACTTGGAAGACCGATAGACGCAGGATTCCACTCTCCGACGGAACAGCAATACTAGGGAAAGCGCGCTAAGAATGCATACTGTAGTAAAATAGGCTGCAGCTGCTTTGAAACGGGGACCAACGTAGAGAGCGTGCTAATACGAGGCACAGCTGAGGCTGACCGTTTAAAAGACCGTGCCCAACCGAGATCGGCTTGTCAGACAATGAAGTAATGGCAGCCGCTGATGTTGGGGTCCACGCGCGTGTACAGTGGTGATTTTTAGAATGGCACAGCACTAAGCCCAATCAGACCAGTTCTTCCGCAATTTCCGGCTAGCGATGTCCCATCCTAAATCTCACCACTGTACATAGCGGGGAATATTCAAGGACAAACTACCCTCATACAAAGTCTGTTTCTGCTTTGGGGCATGAGTCACCAAACCACAATGAGCCACGCTGAGCCATTATGAGCAAGCTTAAGCGCACCCTGAGCTGCCATGAGCTGAGGTAGGTACAACATGAGTTAGCGTGATCCCAACTGAGTGGTGTCTGAATCCAGGAACCACCATATTCTAATCTAGTGGCTGGAAAATGAAACCAGTAAACAGGGATTTATCAGCTCAGCCTTCGCCAAGACAATCCTTAGGACCTTACACGTCAGAAGGTGCCCAATTCGCGATTCCTTAAAGCTCGGTAATAATTACCTTTACCAGATTCATGACAACGTCTTATGATTATTATGACAAGGGTCTTCTGACCAATACCAATACCAATACCTGATCTTAGAGGAAGGGTCCAAGGAGGTGGCGATAATCAATTAAGGCCTCTTATTAATTTTAAAAAGCGCATGCTTATCAGCTGATACACGGTGTAGCTAACAAAGAAGCAATAGCTATCTGCTTTAGCAGTGTAAAATGAGTGTGGCTACTTCACGGAGTTGACAGTGAGGCGTACCGAATTGGTCATAAGATGAGCGAGTTTAAGGTTGAAGGCATTGCGGAGCCCTTTCCCAGGATTTGTGAAACTCCGACTCTGGCATCAAGACAATAATTCTTGTTCTCCAAGCACCTCTATTATTAAAATTCATTTTCGTCCAACAACTCGCTATTGTTATATCGTCTACGCCGTAGCCGCGGGCGTGCATGCCTCTCAACTGCTTCACAGATTATGGCTCTGCTCTAGGGCTTTTGGTGATACCTCTACCTTTTGCGTTATAAACTTTTCCCCAATGTCTGTTCTGACTTTGTTGTTCAATAGCATCAAACCAATTGCCGTCGCTATATATCACAAGTCCTGTCCTCTCCACCTGTCTTAAAAATTCGCAAACTCCAAGCAAATATTATAATAACACGACCTCATCCAACACAATGCAATTTCTTGCAGTAGGAAAATCCGGGGTCTTATATGGAATTAGTCCTTAAAGAGTTCTAAAAAAGTTCCACGACAATAGCAGGGGTGAAACCAAACGTCTAATACATCAGCGGCTTGGTGCACACCCTAATATTACAAAGTTGCTGGATGTTTGGATGGATAGCTCTATCGTTCTCAAGTGAGGCAAACCTCTTCAAACTTTTTATTAAGCTTCTACCTTAAGTAAGATACCGATTTAGAGAAAAATTTAAAGATTAGATGGAAGAATTTTTTTGATGGATAAATTAAGCTCCAAAATAACAAGGGATTGGATAAAATTGCAGATAATTACGCAATAATTATTTTATTTATATTTTACTGCATATAGGACAATAATTCCATATTTAGGTATGTTTCCAAACCCTGATTTGGATTGGTGGATGCGAAATCAATGCTACTCCAATATACGATGTCAGTGATCGCTAAGGTATCTAGCTAGGAAGAAAGAAGGGGATCTTCGGATCCCTTGCCTTTCATAGGCCTCAAATCGTCTTCGATATCCATGGTCCGTTCGTAGCCGATCACTGAAGGTAGATCGTATTTGCAAGTCCACTGAGAATTTGACGAGCCTGAGCTCTCAATATGTATAGTGAACATCCTGTGGTACCTCAAAGTTTTTATGTTCGGGTCTTCCGTGGTGCAGACGGAGCAACAGCGCAGTTCAAAGAATTATCGTTGTCACATGAAAATAGTTGCTGTATTGCGGATTACTATCCCCAAATTCTAAGAGGTGGAACAGCCACGACTATTGGCTAGCGACAGTTTCCCGTGAACCGCAAGACGAGGCTGCGGTCTAGACTGAATCGACAGTAATAAGCTGAATGAATGTTAGGGAGCCGCCGGCAACGCACGCCTAACTTCACGACTCCCTACTCAAGGAAATCATCAGATTATCAATCTCTTTGCCGCAATCTTCCTCTACTGTCCACACTCCCTAAGAGGGGCGATCGTCTACCATGGCACATTGATCGAAGAGAGCAGCCGCACAATAAAGGTTACTTTATCCAGCACCTTAACCTGTCAGCTGTTCGAGTAGTATCCTGGACATTTCAGATTATAGCGAGGCGGATGTCAAGAATTGCTCACCAATTTTCCAGTCTATATAGTTTTACTTCCACAATCCGTCACATCCGGCTCGAACGTTGAAGTTTCAGGTCTGGTTCAGCCAGTTGATATGGCTCGACGTTCAGACCAGCACCGTGATTACCATTGAAACCCCTGGCTCTTCACTTCATCACTGAGGCTTTGCTTTGGCGGTAGCTTACTAGAGCTTTGCTGCCAATGTTATCAGCTCAACGAGTAAGAATATGGTAGAGTATACATATCCCTGGTACAATATCGCACCTTTCTTCTTCAGGTTCTTACTCACCTGATTTGAAGTTTCCTTTGTCGGTCCGCTAGATACTCATGATCAGCCAAAGCCACTCTGCGTCACCTCGATCGAGCAGCAACAGAATCATGATCTCATGTTCGAACTTAACTTGACAGTGGTACATCCGAGCGCTTCATATATAAAGGCATATGGCTATCTGGAACTTTCGCATTTGGCCACAGTTCTCTTGACAGGAGCGCTTCCGAGCGCCCGAGTTTGTTGGTAGAATATGGGCAATATTGTCAGTGATATGCTCAAGGACCCTGCAAAGGAGCAGGCAGCCAAGGAGCAACTTGAGCTTCTCATGAAGCTTGCTGATGCTCGCCTGGATACATTCGAATCGAAGCTCAAGAACATTTTTCTCGACCATGACTCAGCTATGAAGACGAGCGTGCCTGGAAAGCGGGCGCTTCGCTTCGAGCGCTCTGTACGAGTGGACACAGACGAACGGGTCAGTCGAGCAGTACCGTTTCCTTTGAAGTCTGGTCGTGGTCTCTAACATTGGCTTGGAGCAATAGGGATCTCCTGGGGTTGACGAGGCTGTCAACGCCTTCTTTGGTTCTGGAGACACCGGAGCGCCAGGAGTACTAGACGGCTTCAAGGCTGTAGTTAAGACAGGCCTGAAGACAATCCTTGGCGATACCTCTGCCGGGGAAAGCTACGATGAGAAGTTCTTTGTCTGTATTAAGCAGTACGTCTTCCTCACACGTCACAGGGGTCCTTTCGTACTGATGTACTGCCGCAGCAACGCTATCATCCGAGTAGATATGTATACTTACCGTTACAACTTCTCCACCCAAGGTGTCATCTCCACACACAAAAATGTTTTGGCATATATTCTCTGCACTTCCGTTGTCGATCATGCCGACGTAACACCGGATGAAATGATTTATCTTTCATCTGAGTTTGCGGGTGACCGCGAGGGAGAATACGGAGCATACCTAAATTCGCTTATCAAGACATGGAAAGCACTCAAGGCCGAAGACATAGAGGGACCGAAAAATACGGTGCAGAAAATAAAGGGTGATTTGCGAGAGGTAGCTGTTGCATCGTGACTCGACTGTTTTTTCCCTTCTTGTTATTGTACTCATTGCAGCTTTGATTTGGAAGAGAAAATGCAGATACAATGTCGTCTTTTGGCTTGAGAGGTTTCTCATAGTCCATTGATAGCACATGCCCACTCCCCCTCTATGTCTCAATTCTGGGTGCCCTTCGCTCTCAAACCGTCCTTAACGAAAAGCTGTTGGGTTTACACGACCACTGTAGGGGTCTCGCAGCTGAACCGCCATGACTGATTGAATCCATTGATCATATTGGAAGCTTCTAGAGCGCCTGGGACCACTTTAGAAGCCAGATCCAATGAATGTTCAGCATTCGGGGAATAGCTCGCCCTGGAAAATGTACGTGCACACAAGTAAGGACTGGTAGATAGTTTCAAAAGTCCGTCAGATGCTCGAGGAGGCTTGTAGTTCGAGAGGCTCGTTGCCGAATCTAAGGAATTGTTCGAACGCCGTACGAAGATGGCTGGTGGGTTGATGTAGTATGAAGAACTCTTTTCAATCCCGTGTGATCAAAAACATGTGTGCCGGCTAGATACGAGGTTATTAAGCGACGACGGTAGACAAGCGTTTTAATTACACATTTGGTTCTATGAGGTGGAATTGTAAGTCTAGCCAAGAGCGTTTGGCTATCTATCCGACGGAATACACCGTGGACCGGGAACTGAGCGCTGCGTTCCACCTTTCCGTAAGGTAACAATCGTTGATAGAGAAAGCTTCCCTCTTAAGTCAAAGTTGTGTTAGATACAGGTAGAATAATCTACCTGATTATATGTGGGCCTTGTTGCCCTGGCGACTTAAGCGCACTTACATAATGCTATCCTTGTGGATTGTACTGAGAAGATCGACTGGGCGTTACCGGACAAATGGATTTAAGCAATATGATGTTATAACATTTGCCAAAAGAAAGCATCACCATCGAGTTGCGGTCGCATGGTGTAGCTGGTCATCACATCAGTCTAACAGTCGTTGTGCACTGAAGGTCCCAGGTTCGAGCCCTGGTGCGATCAACCTTTTTGTCCTTCCTTTTTCCTTTCTTTTTTTCCGCATTCACTCATAATTATTGAGAAAGATTTGATTTTTCCTATTATCCAATCTGTGAAATTTCAGAGATTGAAGTAACCATGTTTTAAAATACGGTTTTACTTATTATATTGGTTTACTTTTTTAATTATGGTGTACCATTGTGATCATTGTGTTTAAGACTTCACCATTATCGAATACAAATACTGTTAAAACTACTTCTAGTATTGTTGCGCCCTTGAGCATGTATCCACAAAACTATTCATTTTGAAAATCACACAATCCACTCTTGATCGAAGCCAACAAGAAAACGGCGCCTTATCAACAAATGTACCTTCAATGAACAGGGAGAGATGAGAAGCGCGATCCTTTTTCATAGCTTTAAGGCAGTATACATTGGAGATCCGACCCTTGGCCTTGAACTCTTCTTCATTAATAAGCTCAGCCCACATTTGAATAAGTGCCTTTCCTCCAGGTAACCTCAGATAATAGGTATCACGAAATTGAACTAAGAGAGACAAAACGACTGGCTGAAAGTATTCAGCCTTTATCTGATGAGATCCTGACTTCCACTTCGAGGCCTCAAGTACAAAAAACAAAAAAAAAAAAAAAATGGTCGAGTCACGATGCAACGGCCACCTCTTACAGAAAGACTCAATGAATTGAAAAGGGAGTCTGCGATATCTTGCTGCTCTTTATTCGTACATTGCTAAATGTTAACAACTCTACATACAGGATGCCTCGCGTTACGATACTAGACTATAATCCCAATCCGCGTCGGAAAGGCTATATCGTATTGTGTTAACGCCAAGCCTCATCGAGGTGAGGGCCAATAAGACTACGAGGCTATTCAAGCTTTGCCTAGCGCCTACTCTATTCGTCAGAAGCTAAAGGTGTTCCAGCTCGATCACGCAAGTCGCCTTCCCACCAAATGCTATGGACACAATACCAACAGGAGATCCTTAAGTAGGAAGACCCTTTTGCCAGAAAACTTCAGAATACGCAATGTGCTCTTGCTGATTCCTCGGAAGCCGCTCATAGCCGGAGCTGCGCGCACATTCTGGGTTGTGCGTGTCCGACGAGGGACCAATGGCACACCCACGCCTGGTGAAAATTCTGATTTTTGTTCCTTCAATCGTAACCATTTGAGGTGATGAGGTACACGAGGCAGGATGATGCCTTATTGCAAAATGTCGCGCAATGTGAGCTTTCGCACATATATCGACGTCAAGACTCGTTTCGTATATCTGTCGCTGATGACCGAAATAATGACTTGACTACTATTTTTCTTTCGTCGGAGTAGGAGAATGTCATCGGACTTCAGTGACGGCCAGAGGAATAATGAATATCCTAAAACCTCTGCTGTTGCAGATCAGGGTGCCATCGTTGATAACAGTGATGTTTACCATACGAGTGAGTCCAGAAGACAGATTGGGCTTACCAGTGCCATCTTCCTGTAAGTTTGCTATTCCCCAGCGCTATGATAATCTTGACGTGCCCAAACTTATGCATTCTTGGTAGCATATTCAATCGCATGATTGGGACTGGCATCTTTGCCACGCCGAGTGCGATATTCTCGCTCAGCGGGAGCGTGGGGCTATCGCTGTTCATATGGGTCGCTGGTATGCTTATTGCCTTTGCAGGCATGCTTGTGTACCTGGAATTTGGCACTGGGCTACCTAGAAATGGTGGTGAAAAAAACTACCTCGAGTTTGTCTATAGACGGCCGAAGTTTCTTGTGACTGGCTTTTACGTTCGTCAATCCCCTTGATCTCTTGACAGTCGCTGGAAGTATTGATGAAATCTTTCATGACACAGACTGGCTACGTGATTTTGCTTGGTGAGTCTTTCAAAACCTATCTGGTACCACCCAAATCTTGAAACATCAGAGCGGAAACCCGATATCTGATGATGTTCATGATGTTCTTCATGAAGTTGATCCAATCAACCTAGCCTACCGCGTAATCTCGCTATGCTCTACACGAGGGTCAATGCGCGAGATTCTCGAACCTACTACGTAGGTCCTCATTTTACTAGTTAATTAGGTTTTTTACTGTCCTCATTTTCGATGAGGTTTATATAGAGCCCTTACCTCAGGTTACACAGAGAAATTGAATCGAGTCCTTTTCTCCGAAAACGGTGTCTAACATCATCAATATCATCACCGGCTTGCGTCATCTAAGCAAGACCTCTATCGCTAGGGATGTATCGAAAAATCTTGAACCTTCTTCACTCATTTTGAAACTTAAGTCGATTTATCATCTAGTACAGATCTTGACATCATCTCTAGGCTGGGCCGGATCCAACAGCGTTGTATTTGGCGAATACATTCTCAACGCAGCGCAGGTCGAAGTGAATCGCTGGAACCAAAGAGGAGTTGGGCTGGCTTGCATAACAGCCGCTTTTTTAATCCATGGACTTGCTTTGAAATGGGGCTTGCGGCTACAAAACATCCTTGGTTTGATTAAACTGATCATTTTACTTCTCATCATTTTCGCCGGCTTTGTAAGATGCCATCCCTAGGCCCCGTATAGCAATTTCAAGGCTCATGATATCCTAGGCAGCTCTTGGCGGTCATCTCAAAATTGAAAAACCTCACAATTTCGACAATGCATTTCGAGGGACGACTGGCTCTGCCTATGGTGTAGTCACTGCTCTCTACAACGTCATCTGGAGTTACATCGGCTATAGCAACGCTAACTATGCTATGTCAGAGATTAAGAATCCCGTTCGAACTCTGCGGATTGCTGCACCGATCGCTATTGCAATCGTCGGTGTTCTATATATGCTCGCCAATATTGCCTACTTCGCCGTCGTCCCGCGCGAGGAGATCATCAGTAGCGGCCGTATTCTCGCTGGATCTTTTTTCCGAAATGTATTTGGCCCCAAAGCGGAGCGTGCTCTCAGCGTCTTCGTTGCGCTCTCGGCTTTTGGCAACGTCCTTTCCGTCATCTTCTCCCAAGGACGGCTCGTGCAGGAACTAGGCCGCGAAGGCGTGCTACCTTTCTCCAAACTCTGGGCTAGCAACAAACCTTTGGACGCGCCATTCATGGGACTGTTTGAGCACTGGCTCGTGTCTGTAATCATCATGTTGGCACCACCTCCAGGGGATGCGTACAACTTCAGTATGTCAAGCCCTTCCGCTAATGTCTTGACTACTGTCTGCGTTTCTTGTGCTCGTTGTCCTTTCACGGCTGACCCGTTGCGTTGCTTTCATAGTTTTAAACGTAATATCCTATCCTCTCTCCATTGTCAATATCTTCGTCGCCCTCGGCCTAGTCTATCTCTACTTCAACCGCAGCACGTATGATTGGCACCCGCCTACCAGCGCTTCCCTATCTGTGGCGCTTTTCTTTCTTCTTTCAAATATTTACCTCGCAGTTGCTCCATACGTACCTCCAGATTCCCCTGGTCAAAATATATACAAGAGTTTGCCATACTGGTTGCACTGCGTCGTAGGGCTGGGAATAATCGCGGCTGGAGGAGTCTATTGGATTGTCTGGGCCATAGTGCTGCCTCACTTGGGAAATTATAGGCTTGAAAAAGAAGTTGTCGTGGGCATGGATGGATGGACGCGTAATACTTTTGTCAAAATCTTTAGAAAATGATTGGCGCCTTTGGTGGACGTGCTACATTGGCAGGTGCTCTTGAAGCATGACGATCAGGACAGAATAAATCTCAGGATAGAACGAAAATCAGCATAGAGCGAATCTTGCTTGCATTTAACCCGGTTTCTCCGAAGAGAACGGGTGAAGCTGTTATTATCTGATATGAGGTTGACCCTCCAACGCTGCGAAACAACAAATAGTGAGGCCAGTACTGCGGGTAGTACAGCGGCCAGAAGTGGAAGGATAAGAGGGAAGTCTTTCATCGGGACTTTCTTGATCAAGCCTTACCTTACATTGGGGAGGATTTGATACTTGCCGTGCACAGCGTCTACAGTCCTAATTTACGTCTCCGACAAGGCAATTTCGATGACCAATCTATGCGGATCCAACTCTTCCCTTCTTGGCAGTATTTTGTTGAAATGAAGGAAGACAAGGAAAACCTATTGCGTCTCTCGTAAGCAGCTGACTCTATGATTACCGCAGATCGAGACACAACGCTCATTATACAAGTCCGAATGCCAAGATCGAAATGAGTGAGATAATTGATCAGGTTCGTATCTATATGTTCCGAGAAGCAAGAACGAGGTTGACTTTGGGCTGGTGCTTCCCCAACCATATCGTGGAAAAACAAGCTGTCGGGAATGTTCCACTATATCATATTTCCTGTAAAGGGGCCTATGATGTTGGATGCATATACCTCACCCATGTTCCTGCCTGTAAGTCCGGCTGAGCCTCAGTCTTGGAGTGAAGTCTAAAGTAGTGTACAACCATAGGTTCGACAGGTCACCTGCTGGACCTCGTTTGCCAGGTTCGGATAGATGAACTTGGAAGAATTTCGTACGTAGGAAATTGATGCTTCCATCGGAATCTATCTTGTCGGCGGAAGCCTAGACTTATATTTTCTACATAGAAATACGGAAAGTATCTTCTTTGTTAAAACTCTGGAATGATGTTGGGGGTGGGGGGGCGTTGATAAGCAGCACGCTGGGGACCATATCTTGACTGCTCTTGAGTATGTACTTTGACTTTCGCTATTGAATACCATCTATTCAATAATGCACCCTGCCTAAACGTGTCAGAGGCTTAAACCGGGGATGTTTCAATATTCACCGAGTTGTTTCGTATATGGTCTAGCGGCCGGGGATAACGCATAGAGTAAGCCTACTAGCCCGTTCCGTAGCTAATGCATTCGGGCTTATGAACCTTAAATTGAAAGGCCGAACACCTTGATAGTTAGATAATGCCTCACCCTGTCTGACTGGTTCAGCCTCAGCACGGCTAAATCACATCCAACAAAAGGCCTGGGCGAGAGGAGTATCGTCATCACAGCCGGGGCGCGGCGTGTTGGACACGCTACGCCCCGTCAACGACGCCCTTAA